TATATGGAAACGAGCACGAAAGAACGTAATGAGGTGATTTACCTAGCGCACTGGAAGTCGAACTATTCGGAAGATGAAGAGATGTCGAAAAGAAAATGTTATCAATAAAAGTATTTTTAACTGTAGTTGGAACAGAAAAGGCGTTTGTTAAGTCAAGAACATCTAAGAGAGAAGAAAGACCTGGGCATGTTATTTTTCTGACAGTTTTAACATTGAAATCTCCTGCGAGTATTATAGAAGAATCTTTCTTTATATGCGATAACAGAAAATTCTGAAGATCATCAAAGAATACATGCGATCTTCGAGGACGACGGTAAGTATTACATAAATACAAAACGCGTGTATTGACAGTAAGAGAAAGAAGAATAGACTCTGTATCAGATGATGATGCAAGAAAGAAGTGTCTCACATCACTTCTCACATAAATTGCAACGCCTCCCCTCTTCCACTTATTGTCACAGCGGTACAGTGAGTAATTTGGTATCGAAACGTCCGTGTCTAGAATATCCGCAGAAAGAAAAGTCTCTTGAAGACATAGAGCCACAGGTTGCTGGCGGTTCAGCAACTGCTCTACGGCTTCAAAATGTTTTGGTAGACTCTGAATATTATGCGAAATCAAAAGAAATGGACTACCAAATGGAACAAAATCAGCAGCCAAGGGATCTAGAGTGGTCTGTTGAGTCAGGAAGTGAGAATCAAACGCGTTATTAGAGAGAGCATGCAGGGTACAATCTAAAGAAGCAGCAGAAGGGTGAGAATCTTCTGAAAATGTAAAAGAAAGAGAATGAGTGTCGGTTCGTATGATAGTTCTATTAAATATAATTATCAAAATAGTCGTCAATAGAACGACTAAGCTGATCAGTACCTTTTTGGTGTAGATGTATACAATCACGGCTATCGATCATTTCTCTGGTATATTTAATTTTGATAATTTCAACCCAAGAATTTGTATCTACCAATGAATTCAATTGCTCATTGTAGCTTTCAATGTCGCGATTGACAGTTTGATACGAGTCTTTAGAACCGCTAAGAAATATTGGCGAAACCGTAGTTAGAGCTAGTGTTGAATCGGGATAGGATTTATTGAAAGCAGCGATTAATTGTTTGGTCTTCTCAATTGCTACGACAGTGCTATCATGTTTTAGATTCACCGAACCGACCGAAACCACAAAATGTTGCGATGGTTTAAATTGTTTCTTTTGCAGCAATTTTGTCATTTGTTCAATTCGGCATCCATGTACAGTTCGAATGTGGTAGCGAACAGGAATATTTTTTATAATAACTGTACCGGGCTTCAAATCTCTAGTAATACTGGAGCCAAGCACAGTTACTGATATCGGTTTTAACGTTTGACTTGCTGTTCTTATCGCTGGTTCATTAGTGACACGAGCCGGTGTTGAGGTAGACGATGGCTCAACAAGAGGAAGGCGAGTTATGGATTTTGGCGTGCTACCTCGCGTCGGAGAAACAGGCCTACTGCAATTATTTTTTGTCAGCGATTTAAAGAGGTTCGTTTGTGATGACGCGGAGACGTTACAGGTCCTCATCGAAACACCAGCACTTTGTTTTTGAGTACACAGTGTTTTAACTAACATATCATTCTGTTCAAGCATCATTTTGAAAACAGGATGCGAGTAGACATCTAGCGAAGGATGGTCGCTGATACTGTTGAGTATTTCGTTTTGAGCATCAACCGCGATGGACAGCTTACCGATCAAATGTATACACTGTTCCTTTGATAAGCTTTGCAGATCATCATTTAATTTACCAATTTCATTGAAGTAAGTTGTTTTTATTAATTCAGAAGTTGCAGTCATTGCGACGAACGATGTGTAGAAAAACGTGTCTTTTCGACTTTCTCGTCAAACGTGTTTCCTAAATCGCAAAAAAGAATCTATGTTTCAAAAATCAAAAAGTAAACACCCGCTCCATCTTTATAAAATTTACAAGCAATTCCGTAATCTTTCTATTCAATCTTTGCGTAAAGATAAAAATAATTTCTTTCAGTCTATAATGAATACTTTTTCGAATAGTAAGCGTTTCTGGTCCTCTCTTAACAAATATCGCTCAACAGAATGTGATCTTCCTGCTGTTCTGCGTAACAATGCATCTACAGCAACAGACAATCAGTCTAAAGCTCAGCTTTTATCAGAGCATTTTCAAACTACATTTTGTAATATTTCAGGACCATTCCTGGCCGCGCCAGTGACGACTTCTTCTATACTTCTCTCTGAGATTTCTTTGGATGCGTCTGATGTTTACTCTTCTATTTCAAAACTAAAAAACAAAAATTCTGTATCGGTGTTGCATTAGCATAAGCTAGCCTTTCTTTGCAACAACCATGCTTGCAAAAATAAAAATTCAGTTCAGTCCGGCAGACCTCTAATTACGCGACCCGACTAAGCGTAGAAAATTTTTCTACCTTTTTCATTTCTACAAAATTGTTACAAACCCCTCTCTATCAAACTCCGGCTTTATTCAATCTTTGGTGAAGCGTCACTGGGACGGATTGAATCATTCTACAGTCATTCTCTGGAAGACAGCTACTAAGGCTCGTGTTGTCCCTTCTTTCTTCTTTCGGACGGCAGTTGAGTGGAACGATCTACCTGAAATGATCCTTGCCAATAGTTTTAGACAACTTAAACAAAAACTTCGAGAATGGCTAGAGATGTAGAAATTCCTTGTAGGTGATTGTCTATTTGAGAAATGTGTGTTTGTTTCTCTATCTTTTTGGTAGTGGAGTTTATAAGTGTTTTTAAAACTCTCTTTCTACTTCCCAGATATTATTTCTGTACTCTATTCTGTAAGGATGCATCTATAGGTATAAGCATGTATTCTCTCTCTTGTGATGTTGCTACTCTAGGTGGCAGTGTGTATAAGTATTTTTTACTTTTTCTGCTTTCCTACAGCAGCTCTTTTTCGTAAAGTCAGCTTTGTTTGTAAAATAAAATCAAGTTCAAGATATGTAACAACACTTGTGTTTTGTTCTGTTTCTTTCAAACTAAACATCAAATCAAATCAAATCTACAAAATGTGCAGTGGACAAGGCCAATTAAATGGGTTGGGTAAGTAATTAGTTCTATCAAATGTCCATAATATTGAGTTAAATAGTTACTTTATGATCATAAAAAGAAGTAAATTTAATGTGATTGGAAAGATAGAAAATTTTAAAAAAAACTCTTTTGTGTTCTTTTTCTACATTAAATTCAATTAAAATATTTATCAGGTACGTGAACTTTGAAGTTTAGACTATGTTCTTATGGAAAAGTGTGGTTGCTCCACAAACTGTTTTACAGTATCTTTGACAACTATTCACAGATCTTTGACTTAACAAAAAGTTTCTTTCATAAGAAGCTAAACAATTTAGCAAAAGGCCAAACCTCACTTACATTTATCAAGTAATATACGCGACGCTGAGCTGATGTGGAATCTTGTTTATCATAACATTGATTTTTTGAATTTGTTTCAATTATTTCATCAAATGAAACTGTTCAGTCATATGTTTAGTGCAGTCTGCGAGATCGTGCACTCTTGATGACAGAGGATATGATCAATACTGTTGTACTCGTAGTATAGCTATCGAGATGAAGCTAAAATATGCTGTCTAGGAAAGCTAGTTACATTAGGTTATTTTCTTTAGAATTGTTCCTGGCAATGCGTTAATTTATATTGCAATTCGACTACGAAGTATACACTGCGTCTGATACATTTAGCACCAGTACACGTCCGAAACTGTACGTCGGCGAAGCAACTGTTGATAAGGGTGCAATCGGACTGATGCTGCCAACGAGTGAATGTATCAAAATTAATTTGCAAAATCACTGGCAATCCGAAAAAAGTTCAGTCTGGAACACATACTGTTATGAACGCGGCCGCCCATATGTACGTCCGCGTCACTGTCACCCATGGACGCAAAAATGCTTGAGAGTGTCGTCCAAGAGTGTTCATGCACACATTCTCTTAATCCACGGACAATTCTATCGATCCATGGGCTTGAACAGAAATTTATTTATTTATTTTCTTCATAGAGCAAAGTTCGCTAGTAGCAGATGTCTCGGTGCAATGTGACTTCATCCCAAGGTGATAATGTTTTGTTGATAAGATCAATTAAAACGTTGAACAGTCGTACTCTTGAGAAATAAAGTGTTTTTTTGTTTTCAAGTTTTTGACGTTTGTACATATTCTTAATGTGAAAAATTTATGAATGTGAGATATAGAGAATAAAGTGGGCAGTTATTCTAACGAGGGAAGTACCCCAACTGATAAATCGCTTTTTCAACGAAACCGAGTGAGACTATAGGTAGTCGACGATGCTGATTCCGAATATCATCATGAATGCTGCTGCTAGGCATGCATACATTACCATTTTTTTGAAATATAAGTCAATGGGTCTTCAATTGACGAGGACTCATAGGCGTTCTTGAATTTTTACCCTAACCGTAGATAACAAGCAAACTGGCTGTAAGAGTGAGTATTCAGAATTCGGTGAAAACATATTGCTCACCTTTGGAAAGAATTTGTCTCAATTTTATAAATACTAAGTAAAGATGTGACTATAGACATGCCTATAAGAAACGAACATGTTATTTGTAGGACACATATCTTTCTTTTCTAATTTCGTTCTGCTTTTGTTGTTAGTTAAAGACTGATTTATATGCTATGTAACGAAGGACAGAACATATTATGCAGCAATCTGTTTCGTTTGCTTAAAGAGCATTGGGAATAAAGAGCAATGAAATCTCGGACTAAAGTACATGTCGTTAAAAATGTTTTGATAGATCTTTCTTTCATTTTCAAGGCAAATGCATTGATTTTGTTCTAAAGGATACACTGCTATAATTTTGCTGTTCTTAACAATCGTTGCACGAGCGGGACAGCCTTTTTGCGTACCAGTTGCGTAATCAATGGTATTTGCAATCAATGGTACTTTGCTCGCTAGAAAGGTTTCTCAGAAACCTTCTGTACGTAGTTCAGCTATTTCTTTTGATATTTTGTTATCAATTTCCGTACTGAGCACTGTGTAATTAAAAACAACAAGAATAAGTGCTGCTTTTCGCAATTCAGTGGATACAATTTTGTGAAGTTGTTCTGATGCGAGAGCCTCATTAGGACCTGGCGTATCAACTATAACTAAACTAACCTAAACTGAACTAAACCTTCTGATTCAATATCGCTTTCACTATCCCTAATTAAAAATGGTACTTCTACTCGTGGAATATTATTCTGGAATGGATGAAAACTCATAATTTTGATTCCATTATTATGATTATCTGATAAATATAAATATAAACGAATAAGATCATTAATAAATGTTTTTTAATGCCTCTTGTATTTGTGTTGTACCAACAATGTTGATTGATAGAATAAAGCCTGGACTATTGTTATCTCGAATTGCTGTGCCCATTTTAACCAAATGTGCATGACTATCAAGAATATTTTCTAATGATTTAATATCAGTAGCATTAATCTTTAAATAATTACGAATTTCTTCTTGAAGGTTAATTATTGCTCCAATACCCTCTTCAGATAATGTTAATGTTGGTACATTTATTCCACGTTTAAATACAACTTCTGTTGGTAATGTACTCATTACATCACCACGTGTTGGTAATATATTATCACCAATTAATGCATTTATTGTTGTTGATTTTCCAGCTTTCATTGGTGCAACTATTTTCATACGTAATTCTAAATTTGTTACATTGTGTCTTTCAAGCAGCAGCCCATTAATGATCTTTTCTATATTGTTACTGTAAATATTATTGGCATTTTTATCATTATAATTAAGAATAGATAATATCTGATATGCCAAATTTTCATGTTTTTGCAATGATAATGTATTTATAATTATAGACATTGTTAAATTTTTCGAAGTTTACGATATATGTGAATACAAAATATATTTAATGTAAAATAAAACGAATTGTGAAGTAAATATAATCTTGAATTATGTTATATTTATTATACCTTGAGATAAAACATAAAATAATAGTAAAAGTAATTCTCTTGACATCCGAAGATACAATGCCTTTTTACTGTTAACATGTTTTTTTCAAATATATTTTTCAACGTTATCCAGGTAAACATTGTTACTTTATGCAAAATGAGTGCGATCATACGAGAGTTGTGTACTTACTTATGCTAAGAGGAAGATGATGTTGTGTTAATGGAATTATTTTTATTATTGTTTTATATTTTATCTCAAGGTGTGATAAATATACTAAATTCGACAGTCTATTTATCACACAATTTGTTTAATCTCTTTACATCAAATATATTTTGTATTCACATATATCATAAACTTCGGAACTTTAACAATGTCTACAACTATAAGTGTATTATCATCACTACTTATAAAGTGAACTTTTTAAGATTCATTTAAACAAATCTTTTCTATATTTGATATTCAAACGACTACAAGAACAAAATCAAGTTGTGGCAGTGAATAATCAAGAAATATATAAAATTCAAGTTAATTTAACAACCTGTTTAAGAAAATATGAAGCATTAGCACGTGCAACATTGGCTAGTCTTGATTTTCATACTCAAAATTGTAATGGTGAAAATATAGACAGTACACATATCGACAAAATTATCCAAGAATTACTACATAAAATAAAAGCTCCTAACGATTTATAATTACGTATAACAATAGTTGCACCAATGAAACCTGGAAAATCAACAATAATAAATGCATTAATTGGTGATAATACTTAGGCACAGTGGGCATCCAGGCGGACATTAGGCGGAAAAGTGACTTTGTTTCTTTTCGAAAACAAAATAGTGCAAAATATAGCACTTGAAATTCTCTATCGAATGGTGTATAAATGTCTATTGTGATTTTCACTCCTTCATGGAGAAATCGGGTCATAAAGAAAGGTCCCAAAACAGCATTTGTACGAACTAAACCATGATAAACCATGATTCGTTGCTCGCTCAGATATGTAACGCATTTTCAAATTACATATTCGGAACCAGCATGTTCTCAGGTGTCTACTGATACCAAAATATATATACT